GGTTTAATCCTTTTGCCAATCTTAGCTCAAAGTATAGTTGCTGGCCAGTGATGTTAGTTACATATAACCTTCCCCCATGGTTATGCGTGGCAAAAGAAAATATCATCTTGACATTACTAATTGTAGGGCCAAAGCAACTAGGCAACAACATAGATGTTTATCTAGAGCCGCTTGTAGAAGATCTAATAGAATTATGGACTGATGGTGTCAAGGCTTATGATACAGCCAACAACTCCATGTTTAATTTGAGGGCTATTTTGATGTGGACAATAAATGATTTTCCAGCTTATGGAAACTTAGCTGGATGCACCACAAAGGGAAAAGTTGCTTGTCCAATATGTAGCACTCACACATGTTCACAATGATTGAGTAATAGTAAAAAGACTGTGTACATGGGCCACATGCGATTTCTTGCGCTCGACCATCCATTTTGGATGAAAAGAAGTTGGTTTGATGGAAAACAAGAACATTGAAGGAAGCCTAAACCATTAAATGGATTTGGTGTTTTCGGTGTAGTTAAATACATTGAAAATAATTAAGGAAAAGCAATAAAGGAGAGAAAAAGGAAAAATTCCCAGATCATCATAGAAAAAGAGCCAGTTTGCATTCAACCATAGAAGAAGAAGTCCATATTTTTCGATTTACCATATTGGGATGTAAGTCTAAAGAAAGTATAATTCTTATTTTCAAAATTAGTTGAATTTGTTATTCTTAATTTTTTAAAGAATGAATATTTGATTGATTTTACAGGCATTACTTTTGCGTCATAACTTGGTTGTAATGCACATTAAGAAGAACGTTTGCGACAGTATCAATAGCACACTATTGAATGTGAAGTGGAAATCAAAGGATATCCTTGAAGCTCGTAAAGATTTGTAAGAAATGGGCATTAGACACAAATTGCATGCGTAGGACGGAGGGACTCATTTTTATTTGCCACCAGCATCACATACACTTTCAAAAGTCGAGAAGAAGATCTTTCGTTCTAGGTTACATGATTTAAAGTTGCCTAATGGTTATAGCTCCTATAGCGATCCCGGGTTTACCCTTGTTGTTCAGAAATGGGCATTAGACACAAATTGCATGCGTAGGACGGAGGGACTCATTTTTATTTGCCACCAGCATCACATACACTTTCAAAAGTCGAGAAGAAGATCTTTCGTTCTAGGTTACATGATTTAAAGTTGCCTAATGGTTATAGCTCCAATATTGCTAATTGTGTTTCATTAGACGAGTGCAAGCTGATAGGCCTCCAGTCACATGATTGTCACGTCTTTGATGCAACAGTTGTCAGTAGCATTGAGAGGACTTTTACCAGAGGGACCAAGGAATGCAATATTCTAATTGTGCACTTTTTTCAATCAAATATGTCAAAGAGTGATTGATAGGAATAAATTAAAACTACTTGAAGAAAATGTTGCTGAGACTTTATGTATGTTGGAAAGGTGCCCTTCATCATTTTTTGACATTATTGTTCACTTGACAATCCATCTAGGACGAGAAGCTCGCATATGTGGACCAGTGCAATTTCGTTGGATGTACTCATTTGAAAGGTGAGGTGTATATAACTTTTTATTATGAATTATTAATCATATAAATTCTAACATTCTTCTTTTGTGTATGTAGGAAAAGAGAAAGATTTAGGGCAATGAGGAAAAAGCAAACCCTCTTACACACCATGAGTCGTAAAGGTTATGTACGACTAGAGGATGAAATGGTAAATTTAAGAGTGATTCAAGTAGATTGTAAATTGGGTATGAAGTATGGTTACTATGAAATCGTTTTAATAATGTTGATTTTTCATTTTCTATTTTATTTTCTAGAGAAGAGAAAGTCGAGCACCATCATCAACATCAAGAGTTGATGTTTGGATTAAAGGGCATACGATGAAGGAAGGAAAATCCATGAATGAAGTGCTTGATGTAACTATGGTACCAATATTCATATATTTTTTTTTAATTTGCATTCACATCAATTTATTAAGACATGCTTTATATTTTCAGAAAAAGGTTCAGGAACTTCACAACTCTTCTACTGATAAGAGTCCAAAATCTACAAAAGATGATGCCATTTTTCATATTTTTGGTCCCGAGCGTCATGGGAGTGTACAAGGACTAGGATTTGGAGCATTACCATCTAAGGTTGATGCACAAGTACACCAAAATGAGCACGTGAGAAAAC